TATGATATTGACAGCTATTGCACATAAATAAACTTACACAAGAGTTGCTATCATTATAATTTTACATGTTGAAATGCAGTACCCCATCATATTGAACAATTCCATGTAAGGTCAATTACATATTTTAAGAACCCAAGGGCAGTTTCAACTGAGATAGAATTTAGCTCAAATCATAAATCATTAAACTTTCAACTATATTTTCTCAAGGAAACAAAATCTGTGAAACTGAAAACTGCTTGGTACAAAGCAAAATAGTAATTCAAAACAGGTAAAAAAAAAAAAAAATCCAAAGACAAGCCTTCCACAAGAAAACCCCATTCAATAACAGTAACCTCAAAGAGAAACAACCAAAATAGGAAGTTCTCTTTGTCTGTATGTAAGAGAATGGGACTTAAAGATGTTAATCTCATCTACCTTAAAGAAAATGCTGCCATGTTCTTCTTCTTCTTGAGATTCCCCAGTTGACATAAGTGTCATTTTGAGATGCTTGCCACACCAAAGACTTGCCTAATTGAAATAGAGTCCAAAAAGTTTGAGAAACTGCTTTGCACAAAAATATTCTACCTTAATAAAGTACTAGAGAAAATGTACCTTTACTCCGAGTAGCAGCAATTGTGCAAAGCACCCTGAGATGTCAGAATCAAGATATTTTGCAGCCACATGCAAAATAGTTTTGTTTAACATGCATTGGCACACATCCAAGCAAGTAGAATCTTCCCAATGTGTCCATTATGTTGTTAAGGAGAGAACGGAATGCATTTCTCACATCAAACAACACAGTTAAAAATTGAAACACATCTCCCTGTAGCTAACACACACAAAAATGCCACTAAAGTTTTAGAGTCTATAATCTTCTAAATTCGCTTTTTTAAACAAATTTCCTAACGCTGCCACAGAGAATATATATTTTTTAATTAAAAAAATAAACTGAAACAAAATTCACAGTGATGTAGTGAACAGGATACTGTTAGGCAATCAAATAGCGATGCCAAATCAGATTTCTCAGATAGATGCAACTCCTCCAGTCTAGCAAACAGCTCGATACGGCCCTCAACCACCTGGAACATTCAATATCTAAGCTGTGAATAATTATTTTTGCCTTTTTTTTTTTTTTGGGCAAATCTGAGCAAAATATTACCCTAAAAGCAAATTAAATCACTAAAAACAGTTCCAATCAAAATTATTCATAAAACAGCGACTGAGGAACTCAGTTCTGTGAAAATTACAGTGCGCACATGCTAAGAAACGGCGATTTTCTCAGGAACCAAACAGACCGGTGAAAAACTGAAAGTAGAGGCATCATTCACTCAACAATCGCAAATTCATCAAATTAAAGACCAAAAACAGCCAAAAAAAAATCGATGATAAACCATTTATCAAATCAAATCCATAAATTGTAAGAAATCAAGATAAAGAAACACTAATTCGCCATAAAATGAAGGGTTAGGTCAAGAATTTGCAAAAAAAAGAAAAAGTTACCTCTGAAGATTTGATTGCTTCCATCAGCCTCTGCAACTTGCTGCTCGAGCTTTCATTCTCCATCCCTCCCGCTTTCTTCGATTTTTTTTTTTTTTCCTTTCTTTGTGCTCTACGGAAAAATATCTTCGACTGTTTGATTTTTGAAAAAATGGCTTCCAATTTTTCATTTTCTATTTTCACAGCGTTTTTGTACACTTTCCCGCCTCCTGTGATGTTAACTTGAATTACATTTTTGCCCCGCCAAATTTTAAAATTTTCTACTATGTTTAGAGAAAAATGAGGCATAACCCATTCAAACCCCTCCAAATGTTTCTCTTTAGATTATTAGTCCCTTAATATCTATTGGTAATCCTAATTTACAATTTGAATTGCATTAAATTGTAAAATAAGAATTATTAGATAGAAAAAATTCCAATATCAAGGGTTCATTTTCCATCTAATGGTTAATACAATACAAATTGATACAATTCAAACTACATTATATATATTTTTCGATATCTATTTTATATGCTTTAATATATAAGTTTTATTTTATTATTATAATTTACCTAAAATAAAAGGAGTTCCATTAAATAAGCCACTTGGCTGTGTCTATATTGTCACCCTACCATTGTGAGTGTCATGCTAATATAAATATAGTTTACTTATGCTTATAAAGGTAGAAAAAATTTTCATTTAAATTAAACGCGTGTGCTTTGGATTATTTAGGGCGTTGCCATGCAACTTAAATATTTTTGAACTTACAACCTTTTCTTTTTTATGAACGGTTTGAACTTATAACTTAATTAAAGGTTAGTTTATGAGATTGGTACATGATCTATAAATATTGGGTTACAAGGATGGACTCCCCAGCTTAGTATTGCTGATGTAAAGGTTTTATGTCTCTCTATATGAGTATAATGTACAACATCTCTTTTTTTGAGAATTTTTAAATTGTGCCTTTCAAACACAAGTTAATTATATGTTTATTGTATTTTTTATAATTAATTTATATTAAAAATTAAAATATAATTTTAATTTTATTAATCATCTAATTAAAAATATATGTGGTATTGTAGATAAAAATAATATTAATTTTTATAATTTTTTTAATTTTTTATAAAAAATAATTATAAAAAATTTAATTAATACACATTTAATTTATACTCTTAAAATATAAATTAAATAAATTTTTTTATATTTAATTTACACTGTTTATATATCATTTAACTCAACCACCAAAAGAATATTACTTTTATTAAGCTATTTAGATTCTCAACGAGGACAATGTACAATTAGTTTGATGTTGTCTGGTACCATTTATTATACATTCGGACATTACATGGGACAAGCCGTGCACCTGGCAACCATGCAAAACCGCTGATCCGCTGCTACAAATTAATGGTCTTCTCAAAGTTTTTTTAACCAAAGCTCAAATTTGTGAAAGTCATTATTTCTTTTATTTTAAAATAATTATTATATTTCATTTTAAATTAAAAATTAAAGCGTTTTTACATTAAAATGTTAAAATATTTAATTATAATTGTTAATTATGTGAGATATAGTATTAGCTTTAATTTTATTAAATTTATTAATGCTTATTACTCCTTTTATTTATTTTTAATAAATTTAGTTTAATTTGTTAACTTTTTAAATATAAATTTAAAATGAAAATCTAATAACTTATATAAATAATAATTAAATAATTATTTTTCTTTATAAAGTTTTTGTTGAGTATTATAATCTAATTAAGAAATTTTTAATTATTATTTATACAATATATTAAACTGTTATCTAAAATTCATATCCAAAAAATTTAAAAGTTAAACTAAATTTATTAAAAATAAATGGAGGGAGTATTAGATATGATTTTCCTCTTTCCTTTAAATTAATTTATGTTAAATTAATTGACTTTTTTTATTTTTAAGATAAATAAAATTTTATTTCCTTTAACTTATCATCACTATTCACTTTAATTGATTGTTTTATCTCAAATTTTTATATTTATTTTTTAAAACTAAGGACATATGGAGGACCTATATTTAAAAAAATATTGTAATGATAAGAGGATAAAAATTTGAAACCAATGATGTTATTTATGTTATATTATTAAATTAATTGATGCATACAATATTATAGATCTTAAAAAGTAAAAAAAAAATGTCAAACAATATATAATTCACGTTTTAATATTTTAAATATGACCATTTCATTGATTCCAGATTTCAATATTAAATTTTGGTCTTATTTATTATCATTCTTTAAAAAATAATATAACTCAACACAAAAATTATCCCTATGTAATTCTTAATTTTTAAAATAAAATAAAAAAGAACAATTATTTTAAACGAGCAAAGAATACTTTTGATGAAAAGATACCTCAAAATCATAATTTTCCTTAAAAAAATCATAATTTTAATTAAAGTAAATAAAATTTATAACAACGAATTAGAAGTAGAGGTTCATGTTTTCCTGATGACAATTTCTATCTCGTACATTTTTGATTTTTCCTTTCGGAATCTCTTCACTTTGTTTTTGACACGAGAATGCTCGATTAATTCATTACGTGCCCCGATTTAGGGAGAGTGTCACATGAATTTTTAATCAAACAATTGTACTATAGGATCAAAGACAGCATATATAATGCATAAAAGCGAAAGAGCTATCATTAATTGAAACATAAATTGAGAAATACAACATAAAAAAGGTACAACTGACAACCCCATTGTTGTCTCTGCAGACACATTGCGCTAGAAATTAAGTAGAAAACCATGATCAAAATACCAAACAATATATATTGCATTGGGACATTAAAAATTAAAACTACAACACATGCCAACTTAATTAATCTAGCTATGAATCTGAAACATGCACTAGACATGCATGCAAGTAGTACGTATGGTACTTTAAGGGCATGGCAAAATGCCACCGCCAGCTGCACCACCTACGCCACCAGCACCTCCAACACCACCACCAGCACCCCCAACACCTCCAACACCACCAGCACCTCCAACCCCACCACCAGCACCACCAACACCACCAGCACCACCAACGCCACCAACACCACCACCAGCACCTCCAACCCCACCACCAGCACCCCCAACCCCACCAGCCCCACCACCAGCACCCCCACCAGCTACACCTCCTAGACCTCCAGCCCCACCCAAACCACCTAACCCATGTGCTGCACCAATTCCGCCTCCAATTCCACCGTACTTTCCAATCCCTCCAACGCCACCAATCAAAGGGATCCCTCCAACCACCCCGGCAAACCCACCCATCCCGGCAAACCCACCAATGCCACCATAGATGAAATTCTTTTTGTCATCAAGGCCATTTCCGCTAGGAGAGTCTGCCTTCGGTGCACTTGCATGCACAAACGTTTGCTCTGTCTTCGTGCAATCACTTTTAGTATCCTTCGGCACAGCATCATGTACCATTTGCTGGCTGTAACCGCCGGGGACAGTACGTGCAGTTGCATGCACAAGTAAAACCATAACAAGCACAAGAACAGCAGAGCACCTCAGCATTTCTCTCTTTCTATATATGGGATGCAAGAATACTACTGGTATTACTTGGGTGAATTAGAGTTTGCATGGATAGGTTTTTATAGAGGAAGGAAATATAGGTGACAGTTGGGAAACTTAAATGAAGAAGGGATCGAGTAAATGAATACAGATGAAGTAGTAATTGTATTTCTTTGTTTTAATTTTTCTTGCAATCTCGAGAAGGGAAATTTTTTGAATTTGGGGTCAGAGAGTTAGGTGAGTGAAAGGAAGAGAAAATTTAATTAAGGAAGTCATGTGTGTTGTATGTTGTTGTCATGGAAGGGAATTGACAGATTTGCTAGCAGCCTCGTTGCCTTAGTAGTCTTGTTGCTAGTCTTGTTGGGTACTGTGTTCTGCTCCTTGTTTGACTTGTGTATTTTCATTAAAAACACACACACCTGAAAATGCTCTCCTTGTTTATTACAATATTTTGGTTGGGTTATGAATTAACATAGAGTCAAAAGACTAACTATAATGGGTTAAAAAAGTGTTTAGCGTATTGTCTGAATTGTATTATTGTAAAATAATAATTATTGTATTATGAAGGCTATTAATATTGGGGGAGAGTCAACTCTCGATCCAATCCAATGAGTAACAACTATCCATTTATTAATTAGTATTTTTTAATTTAGTACAAATCAAATTATAAAATTACAAACTCATATATAATAGAATGAAAAAATAAATATATGTATTTGTTTTCAATATGAGATTGTAAAGTATGTACCCTTAAATGAATAAAAATTTTGATTCATTAAAAAAGTTAAATAAATATTCGTTTTCATCATGGGATCAGTTGATCGACTATTTAGTACTAGCAGCATTGTTCTATTATAAGTATATATACGGAGTACGTATTTATCAATATAATGGAAATCTCGAAGAATAGGGACTTGTGAACCGATTGTTTGATGAATTAATTAAAAGTTCACCGATCGTAGTCATGAGCCATCGATATTTTTAAGGAAGGAATGTATGCACTTAAGAAAGGCAGAAGGTGCAATTCAGCCCCCCTACCTGTAATGTTGTGGGAGATCAGCCCCTGTACTAGAAACACTGGCAAATCAGCCCCTCTACTTCATGTTGTCCGCAAAACAACCCTTTTAGTGAGAATGACGTCATTCCACCGTTAGACCCGTCCATT